GGGGGGGCTCCTAGCAGCCCACAGGGGCTTCTCCAAGGGTGAGCATTGGAGAGCACTGAAGGCTTTATCTATTGTTAAAGGGAATATCTCCAGGGTCATCTCTAAACTCATGTCACTTTCACCAGCCTTATCTGTTTTTGAAGATCCTCCTGATGAAGCCTTGTACCAAGAGATTGATTACTTTGTAAAACTAGAGGAGGACCAGTTGGACAGCTCAGGTGTGTTCCATGCCTTCCCCTCTGTTCATTACCTGGCTATGGGTTATTTTCAGCAAGCACAGACCCAACCTCAAACAGCCTCTCCTAAGGCAGGAGCTGCAAACTCTCTCTCTACAAGTCTGAAGCCTCAAGATTTCTTCTGAACCATGAAACCTACTACTGTGGGAAAAGTTTTTCTGTTTGTCTGTGATGTTTTTCTCCCTACCAGGTAACCTGTCTGATGACTCTGTGACTAAGCTGCCGTATTATACAGGAAACAATGAGGAGAATGGAGACTCTGGATCTGCCCCAAGTAGTAGTGATTGGTGTTTGCTTGAATGGTGGAGATGAGGAGAAGGAGTCTCATCTGAAGAGAATTCCTCCTGTGATTAGGATAGGGAGGATCTCTTCCATCCAGTTCACAATTTTTCCTCTCCCTGCCCACCCTGTGACCACAGAAAGGGAAAAATCAGACTTAGTTCTCTGTATCCACAGCTACTTCTCCTCAGTTACAAACATGCATCTAAGGTATTATTATGGATTCAAAGGTGATTTTTTTAAAAAACATCTGAAACTGATCATCTCAAAAACTCTGTGTCCAGAGAGAACATTGGGAAGTATGGTTGGATCCTGAGATAGTATGATATTTGGGTCATTTAGTGGATTATGTGTATACTAAGACAAAAAATTGATTTTAATAAACCCTGGAATACATGGAATAGTTGGTGCTCGTACTTATCAGTGATCAGAAGCTCTTCTTTACTAGGGACCTAAGAGAGGAGAATGTCCCCTCTATCTTCTCCAGACAATAAAGATGAACAGCTCTTGGGATGAGGCATGTCTAGAAGGGCTCTTGGGGATTAAATCCTGAGATCAACTGAGCACTAGAGGGAATTGAAACAGAAACCTCCTGGGACTGGGACTGCTGGGATCTCCTGTCTCTGGATGATAGATACCCAGACTGCACTCTCCCTACTGGTTGCGTCTCCCACAGCTTCAGAAGCGCACAGACAGCCTGGGTTCTCTTGGTCCAGCTTCAGCCTCCTTTGGACACTGACATGTGCATATTATATGTTACAACTCTGTACCATATGCTTGAAAATAGTGCCTGAAACTCATAGCAAAATAACTTTTGTTGATTGAGAGGCCATGTTAGAAAAATATTGTTGACCTTGATAAATTAGAATATTTAGAAGATTTAAATAATTGCTGAGAATATTGAGATCAAATATATATCTTTGAGAGAATCATGGAATATGGTATATATATTTATTAGCTATTAGAATCTCTTCATTAGAAGGGACCTTGGGCATCACCTAGTCCAACCCATATTTTGTTATTTCACCTAAGTCCTTGTCTGTTTTCAGAGACTCCAAGACAACATGTCTATGCCACAGGAAATTATTATGATGATATTGAAGAGTTACCTGTTCCAAAAATTTCTGGGATGAATGAGAATTATTCTTTCCCTAAAGAGGGAGGTGGTGCCGGGTATCCCCAAAGAGGTGAGTGGACAACTTAGTCTCGAGTAGCCTTACTTCCTTCCTCGTTATGGAAAACATGAGTTTGAACCTATCACTAGTCAGTTTTTCTTTACTATCTGAATCTGGTAGCTTTGTATACCTAGATAAGATCAGCTCGGACTTCACAAGATGGCAGTGCAGGTAACAGCTGCACCCGCCGCCTCCAGCAACCACATCAAAATTACAACTAAAATACAGAACCACCGTCACTCAGAGCCTCCTGAAATCTGGCTGCACAGAAGCCTCACAACCAGGGAACTGAAGCAGCACCGAGACCGGTAGAAGGAGCGCAGACGCGGGCGGATTGGGGCTGAATCAGAGACGCGGCCGCTGGCCCACCCCTTGGTGCCGCGGGGTAAACCCGGGAGGGAATCTCAGTGGTGGAGGTTTCCCGGAGGAGCAAGGGGTCCCAGCCTCGCATCGGGTCCCCAGCCCAGGGCTCCAGGGCCAGGAAGAGAAGTCCCCACAACTTCAGGCTGTGAAACAAATGGGGACTGTGGCTGAGGGTCGCGGAGGCTGCGGGAGCCCCAGCAGCTCCTCTTAAAGGGCCCGTGCACGGACTCACTCAGACGCGCTCCCTCTGAGCCCAGTGCCGGGCAGCAGCCTGAAAGGACCTGGGACACTTGGGGAAGAACTAATCTGCCTGAGATCCGGGCGAGAGGTGGAGGGGCAGCTTCCTCCCAGGCAGAAGAGCTGGCAGAGGCCATTGCTCCCTTGGTGAGTCCTCCTTGCACACAGCCACAGGCAAGTGCCATATTTGAATCCCCAGCACCTGACTTGAACCTTTGGCCCTGCCCTGAGGTTCCCGGACTCCCCGCCCCTCCCCACCTGCAGGCTCATCCAGGCCATTTCCAGTGATGTTTCTATGCAAGTGGCCTCTCCAGCCTCATGTGTAGGACTTTCCTAAAATCTCCCAAACAAGCAGCAGCATGCCCCATACGGCTTGATAAGTGGCCCCAGGCCTGGCACTAGTGGCAGCCTGCATTGGTTCAAAGCTTGGCCTCTCCTGGACACCTCCAAGCCCAGCACAAGTAGCAGCCAACTATGGTTTGCTATGTAGCTCATGCTGGGTGGCCCTGGGCAAGGCACTGGCACAGGCTGACTTTGCACCTCCTGGAAGGCCTCAGAGTCAGTGCACCTGGTGGTCAGGCTCTACCATGCTGGATTACAACCCTACCACATCCATGAGTGACACACTCAAGGGGCACACTTGGTGAACACCAAAGCTCCACTGAAGTAAATCCTGCTCTATAGGGGTATCTCCAGCACAGCAGCTCTTTGGCTGTAGTTGCAGCTGGTCCTCACAGCTGATTGGCCTTGGGGTCAATTCCTCCCAGTGACGCCAACAGCAACCAAGGCTCAACTACAGTAGGACAGTGCACACAGCCCACACAAGGGAGCACCTAGAAGTCCCAGCTCAGGTGACTGGGGAGGCTGAGCCACTAGGCCCTACAGGGCACCTACTACACAAAGCCACTCTACAAATTCCAGGAGACATAGCAGCTCTACCTAATACATAGAAACAAACACCGAGAAGCAGCCAAAATGTGGAGGCAAAGAAACATGTCACAAAGGAAAGACAGAAGAAATCTCCAGAAAAGAAACTAAATGAAACAGAGCCAAGCAAGCTACTAGATACAGAGTTCAGAATAATGGTTATAAGGATGCTCAAGGATCTCAGTAAGATTAAGGAAACTAGTGAGATCATCAATGACATAATAAAGGACCAATTTGAAATGAAGGCTACATGAACTGAAATGAAGAATAATTTACAGGGAATCAACAGGAGAGTAGTGGACACTGAGAATCAAATTAGCAATCTGGAATATGAGAAAGCATAAAACACCCAACCAGAAAAGCAAAAAGAAAAAAGAATCCAGAAATGTGAAGATAGTATAAGGAGCCTCTGGGACAACTCCAAGTGGACCAATATTTGTATTATTGGGGTACCAGAAGGGGAAGAAAGAGAGCAAGAAATTGAAAACCTATTTGAAAAAATAATTATAGAAAACTTCTCCTACCTTGGGAAAGAAATAGACTTACAAGTCCAGGAAGCACAGAGGGTCCCAAACAAGAGGAACCCAAAGAGGCCCACACCAAGACACATCATAATTAAAATGCCAAATGTTAAAGACAAAGAGAGAATCTTAAAAGCAGCAAGAGAAAAGCAGTTAGTTACCTACAAGGGAGCACCCATACGACTGTCAGCTGATTTCTCAACAGAAAGTTTGCAGGCCAGAAGGGAGTGGCGAGAAATATTCAAAGTGATGAAAAACATGGAACTACAACCAAGATTGCTCTACCCAACAAAGCTATCATTTAGAACTGAAGGTCATATAAAGACCTTTACAGATAAGAAAAAGCTACAGGAGTTCATCACTACCAAACCAGTATTACATGAAATGTTGAAGGGTCTTCTTTAAGAAGAAGCTAATGAACAAAACAATCTGACAAACTAAATAGATCCAGAGACATTGAAGCATGCAACAGATGGTCATATTTCAGAGGAAAGAGGGAATGGGGTAGAGGATGGGAAGAGATTAACCAAAGACGTTACATGCATATATGCATAACCCATGGACACAGACAATAATGGGGTGAAGGCCTGAGGAGGGGGCAAGAGTGAGGTGGAAGGGGTCAGCGGGGGGAAATGGGACACCTGAAATACTTTCAACAATTAAGATAAATTTAAAAAATAATAATAAATAATTTTTTTTTAAGTTCAGATCTTCTTTATCCCAGGTATATTAAAGCCATTTCATCTCTTCTGAGAGGAGAAACGCACTGTATCCTCTGTGTCCATGTGCACCATCAATTGATGTAGACATGTCTATGAGTTGCAGAGGCTTTGGTCCTATTTTTATACCCTAAATTGAAATTTATGCTCTGACAATAAATTTGAGGGCTCTTTTAGATTGTGAGAAGTAATCTGGCAAGTTTTTTAATATAAATGTAAATTAAATTTGCGAGCTATAAAAATTTGTTTTGGGAGAACCATGTAACCAAATGTTTTAAATTGACATTGCCCACTAATAATACAGAATATGCAGTAGCCTTAATTAGAGAGTCATAAAACCTCAGCACTAGAAGGAAACTAAGATATAATTTTCTCTCAGTGTTTCAATTGACAGTTAATGACCCTCATTCCCTAGGACTAGGCTTTCTGTTTATATGGGAGCATGTGGTCCCTGGCTAGCAGGAAGATTGGTTGAATTGCTCCCTTTTGGCATCAGACAGGTGATCCAGATTGTTCTCATGAACACTTTTAGGCAGAAATGATCTGTTATTGATGTGTTGAGGAGAGGTCATCTGAGTGCTCTACAGAGGTCACCTCTTCCTCCATTCCTTAAGAAATCTTTTCCACCGCTTGCCATTATTTATCCACTTCCTTTCAAACTGTTGAAATCAAGACAAGACTACACAGAGTAGCTGAATCAGTCTAAAGTAGCTCTATCTAAGCCTTTCAGACAAATACTAGGCCCCCACAGATATTTTGTAGCCACTTTGTACTTGTATCTATCTTCTAAGGGACTCTGTCTTGTCTTCACCGCTGAAATCAGAATTCTCCTTACTGTTTCAGGCATCTCTCTGCAGCCTTCTAGAGAAGCTGTCAACTCTAGCATGGAAGATAAAGCATCCTCATTGGTCCTGAGACAAGAAGACCCTGGGTATGATAATGTTGAGCTTAGTACCATGTAGTGCCATTCTTGGAGCAAGAAACTCTTCAAAGAATCCTCTGTAATATTTTTTCTCAAATAAATAAGAGTCCTGTCTCCTTCGTTACTGCAAAGTTTTTATGTGTACCTATGATGAAAGAAAATTATCCGTAATAAATACTCTGAGCTTCATAGACAAATGCTATTCAGTATCTAGGTATTTTCACCCCCACTGACCTTGGAAAATTCAGCCTTCAAAAATTTTTCGTTCCTTGAGTGAAATCTCAGTTGAAAAATCAGTGTTATCACCTCCCCTCAGACTACACTCTTGCCATCCTTTAGGTACAAAGTTCAAACTTTTTTTGAACAGCATCAAACTCTGAAATCTGACCCTGAAGTAAGTTCTCACTTAGGAAGATAAACTCAGAAACACATAACTGAATATTCCAAAATATTACACCTCTCTTTAAAACCTAGAAGTGAGATTCAAAGAAGTGAGGTTCAAAGTGAGGGCTGATCAGGTAGAAGGGAAATAGTTGCAGCTCTTCTAATTTAGCTCAACAATTTATGGAGTATTAATAACAAAAATCTATACTACATAAAAGTACCTTTTTTTCTAACTGCCTTTTCTCTTTTCTAGTTATTCCCCACATCCTAAGTCTCCACCTTCTTCATCAAATTGTACATACTATTGTTCATAAATCCTATTGTTTTCCATCCTTTTAAAATAGTATCTCTTTTCCATTCTCCTCTCTGACTGTATTTGTTTAGACCCCCAACAATTCTAACCTCTCCAATTGCAAGAGCTCTCTAAGGGCTGTATTTACTTTGAACTCTTCCCACCCTAAACCATCCTCACATATATGCCCCCTGTGTTCATAGCAGCACAATTTACAATAGCTAAGATCTGGGAATGGCCCAAGGGCCCATCAGGAGATGAGTGACTAAAAAAGCTGTGAGACATTTACACCATGGAATGCTATGCAGCTGTAAAGAAGAAGGAAATCTTACCTTTTGCAACAGCATACGTTGACCTGGGGATTATTATGCTAAGCTAAATAAGCCAGTCAGAGAAAGACAAATATCACATGATATCACTTATATGTGGAAAACAAACTGATGAACAAAATAGGTCTAGAGATGCGAATGCATGGAACAGACTGACAGATCTCAGAGGGGAGATGGATGGGGGGATGGGAAGAGATTAACCAAGAACATATATGCATGTGTGCATGGCCCATGAACACAGACAATAATCTGGTGAAGACCTGGGGTGGGGTGAGGGCTGGGTGGAGGGGAGCAAGAGGGGGATATCTGTAATACTGTCAACAATAAAAAAATAAATTGAGAAAGAGAGAGAGAGTGCTGGGGCATGAGGATAGGCAAGCCAAACAATGTAATTCTCCTGCCTAAAAATCACTGCTAATTTATCATTAGTTATGCCAAAGTTTCCAAAATTCAGTTATTTGCATGCCAGTATAATTAATATTTCCATACCTGCATTCTAACTGTATAATTATAACCAAGATTTTCTTTACATTTACTATCTTTTTAACTTAAACATTTTGTTCAAAAATAAAATATATATCACTACCAAAAATATCTATAGAATAAGAGAAAATTTTCTGAAGTTCGCAAACTATATATACATTTATTTTTCCAAAAAAAAAAAAAAAAAAATCCCCATTCAATACTTTAAATCAAAGTTTGGGAAACAGTAAACTACCCTAGAAAGTTCGAAACCCATAGCCTATGAAGCTCTCCACATTTGTAACTCTTTCTTAAGCATCACTACAATTATTTTAGGAAAAAGCAATATTAAACTGCTCAGCATTTTCTAAACCATCAGGTTCTTTTGAAACTCTGTTTTATACATGCTTCTTCTTTCTGAAATTGCCTTCTTTTCTCTCCAGCCCTTACCTTTTTCTCCCTCATCTCTCCCAATTTTAAGTAAGTTGTCATTTTTTTACTCATGTCAGTTCATTAAGTTAAACTGGGTTAGTGTAATCATCAAATACTTATGAGATAGAGTCCTGTTGGAGAATATCTATATACTATTTATTTTGGACTCCTAAAATAATTTATTTTAAAAAGTAAATAAATTTATCACTCCAGAGAATATATTACTTTATTTTTTTACTACCTCTTTTAATAGGTGCATTTCTTGAATGAATGTTATATGACTCTTGTTATCACAACTCCTTTTTCCAGAAATGACAGAGGTGATTCTGTCCCTATCTGGCCCATATTTCAAATACAAGGGACAAACAGAAACAACATTCACTCTAGCTCACCAACAATAAGCTTTTAGAACCTCTGATTTCATTCAATTATCAAATGAGCACTAAGACAAATTCATTAATTGATGATCCCAGTCTTTTTGCACATCACTTTTCACCTTTTTGTATATCCAACTAGAAAAATTTGCCTGGATCTGTCCAAGTAGTACTAATTCCCTGGACTCAATCTGAGTTTTAATCTCTCAGTAGTTGTCCTAACTACACTATATTGAATAAATTACCCAGTTAGAGGAGACTCAGCTCCCATTGAGATGCAATAGAAGAAAAAAAGAAGACCTGTTTACTCAATCAGAATCAGACTCTGAAAAGCAAAATAAAGCAAAGAGAAGCCATGTGATTGAGATCCTGAAGATCCTCTTGCTCAAAAGAGAGTTTGAGAGAATGACTTTGCATCAACTTCTGTGTGAGGACTATTTTCCTGTCACTATCTCCTCTGATGTAGGTGTATATCAACCCATTAATCCCAGTGTCCGAGCTGTGCCAGAGTCAAGTAAATGGATCTGGGACAGTTGGGAAACAATTTTTTTCTATTTAGATATAAACCTAGGCATCTAATTTACAAATCCAAATCAATATCCAAATTACAGCAAAGAAAATAAAATGGAGATCTGCAGTATAAAATTCTTGCACTTCTACTATCTATCAATCCAGAAAAGAACCGTACAGAAAAAAATGCCTAGCACTTCTCACAGGAGGCTGTGAAAATTATGTAATGTGACCAGAGTAAAAAGAGCAGAGGACTACAGAGAAGTAAGTACATTAAATGGAGAGTTAATTTTGGTTTTTTAATGTCTACAAAAGGGATGGTTATTTGTGGGTGTTCAAAAGTTAAGATAAAGAGCTCATAGCCATTGAAAAATGAGAAAGATTATGTAAATAAAATAGGAAATCTACTCACCACTGTGAAATCAGTATGAGGTGGAAGAAACAAGCAAATAAGTAAAAAAATGATTATGTACATTTGTAGATATAAACAATAGGAAGTTTAATATTACATTTTACTACCCAGCTATCTCTCCTATTATTAAAGGCAAAGTACTGAGTTTATGCTTATGTGGAAGCAGTATAAATTAAACTTGAAAAACTATACAAAATACAAGAAAAGCCTGAAGTGACCAAAATCAAGATATAGAATGGTCAATCACCACAAAAGAACTCCTTTATGCTACCTCTTTGCATTCACACTCACCTCCCAACCCTCCTCACCCCTCTCCCTATCTCCTGGCAACTGCTAATCTGTTCTCCTTTTCTATAGTTTTGTCATTTTGATAATGTTATATACATGGAATCATATAACCTTTGGATGCAAACTTTTGAAATTGCTTTTTTCACTAAGCATAATATTCTTGAAGCCAGTTCAGGTTGTTGTATGTATCAGTAGGTCATTCCGTTTTATTGCTAAAAAGTATTCCATTGTATGGATGTATCGGAGTTCGTTCAACTATTGACCCATTGAAGACATTTGGACTGTATCCAGTATTTTGTTATTACAAATAAAACTGCTAAGAACATTTGTGCACAGGTTTTCTGTGAACATAAATTTTTATTTCTCTGGGATAAATGCCCAAGAATGTGATGGCTGCATTATATGGTAAGTGCACTTTTAGTTTGAAGAAACTGCCAAACTGTTTTCCAGAGTGGCTATATCCCCACCAGCAATGTATGAGAGAACCAGTTTCTCTACGTCTTCATCAGCACTTGATATGATCTCTATTGTTCATTTTAGCTGCTCTAATAGATGTGTAGTAGTCAACCTATGCCTTTTAATTAGACAATCTTGCCCATTTACATCTAATGTAATTATAATGTGGTTGGATTAGCATTGTCATTTTGCTATTTTCTATTTGTACTATCTCTCTTTTATTCATTTTTCTGCCTTCTTTTATGTTAATTGAATATATTTAATATTCTGTTTTAATACCTCAACTGGTTTCTTAGCTATACATCTTTACATCAATTTTTCAGTGGTTTTTCTAGGCTTTAGAACATGCACTATTATCTTATTACAGTCTCCTTAGAGGTAATGTTGTACTACATCAGATAAAATATAAGAACTTTGCAATAATATGGTTCTATTTACTTCCACCCTTAGTGCTATTGCTGTCATGTGTATTATATCTCACATGGATTTTGATCACTATACTACATCTTTATGATAGTCATATATGTTTTGTAGAAATTAAGAAGATGTGATCTTTCATAGTTTCTCATATGTTTGACATTTATAGTTCTAATTATTACTTCCTGTAGAACTGTTTCCATCTACTGTCATTTACTTCCAGCCTGAAGAATTTCCATTAGCATTTTTGGAGTGAAAGTCTATTAACAATAAATCTCAGTTTTCATTCATTGTGACATTCTGGCTACTTTGTCATAATTACTACTAAGCAGAGAAGTTTTCTGGCTTTTGTTGCAGATCCTGGAATGGTATTATCCCCTCACAGAAGTCTCATTCGTAAGCAACATAGATCATTTGAAATGATTGCCTCTTATGTTCCTAAGTCTAAACACTCTGAAAATCTGTTCACCAACTCCTGGCTGCTTCTTGAGCACCCAGTTCATAAAAGGGCTCATCCTAAAACTCTCCCAGCTTTGGGTAGTGAAGTTTGTCCTAACTCTTCCTTAAATTTTCCTGATGATTTTTATCACCAAAAAATTAATAGCAGCCAGCTCTTTTTGTGCTTTTGTGGTGACATCTCAGGAAAAAGCATGCATGAATGTTCAGGATTTTTTTTAATGAGTTCATCTTGCTAGGAATGAGGGTGTGAGTATGGACCAAGTTTAGAGTCTCTTGTCTAAACAAGAGTGACCTGCAACATCCGTGAACCTGGGCAAAGAACAGCCTTGAGGAACTTGTGGGGAGATGAGAAAAAAAGTCAGTTCTGGATTTCCTCTTAGGGACACAGATTGAAGGCCAATCCTCTAAAAGCAGATGGCTCAAATTTGCTAAATTATCAACAAAACAAAAAGTACTTTATTCAGAATATTTAATTTTGAGCAATTGACATATAATACAATTATAGATCAGTACTACCCTACTGGAATACAGATAGAACATCTGAGGTCTCATCTCTTTTTTAATACAACAGCATGGAAAGTCACTGTAGGTGTTCTAGGGGGATTTAATTCAGCAGCATCATACTCAGGGTCCTGTTGGTCCCCCTGGAGCAGCCAGGGACTATCTTCTTTCCCAGGATGAGCTGCTCCTCCAGGGAAGTGCAGAGAGGAGCCTGCAACAGTGAAGAGAAGTTTAATTAGAACTGTGATAGAGGGACAGGGAAGTGCCCCATGGTAGAAGCAAGTCTAGTAAATGGTAATAAAACAAAATTTAAAAAAGCATCTCTGGGGACCCACTGATGCTCAGGTAGGATTGGACTATTTAATATTAGTTACAGCAGGGGTGTACCAGGACTATCCTATTAGGATCCAGTCCAAGTGGGTTTCTGGGGCCACAGCTTATCTAGGAAACACTGGATCACAGGAGATTTGTGAGCAACACAGGTGCTCTCTAAAGGCCTTTTTCCTGGCTTACACAATCAGCAGGGAAATAGCCCAAGAATGGTAAGAATCATATGACAGGATGTGAAAATTTCTCCTTTCACAATTGCCATACCTGAGTTCACAAGGAGAAGGAGTCAGGAGGCCACATCTGGAGAAATCTCAGTTCTTTACTAAAAATCTAACTCTGCTCTTGATGGCCTTGACTTGTGTTTCCAAATGCTAACAAAAACCATCACAAGATTCTTTCACAGTTGCCCCCTCCCCGTGGAATCACTTGAGCTCTCAGATGAACAACACTCTTCTCTGGAGAATGAGCATCTTCATTTGGCCATTGAAATGTCTGGAGCAGATTAGAATTTAGCTACCTACAAATTCTTAATCTGTAATTCACTACAGAGGCTTTGGATTTGGTAAATATGCTCAATTAATCTACAAGTCTTAATGCAGACATATCGAAGATGAAGTTAAGGAAACACAGATACAAGACTACAGAGTGCTTCCTCCCTCCCAAGGAATATGAAAGCATTAAAGAAAGGAATAGGGTCTAAGTGATGCTGTCAAACATATGAGGTCATCCAAATTTTGAATCTACAAGAAGAATGGGCATTGAGATCAAATTCATCCTTTCCAGGCCAGAGACAAAATATGACAGGGATCAACTAATCCCACTCACCTGTCTGAAAAACCTGTCTCACCCCATTCTCCTCTGGAGGCACTTCCCACCCACTCATCTGAGAGGCAGAAAGAGTCTTGGGCGCCAGTACCTCTTCAGCATCATCGTAAACCTCTCTAAAAGCATCAGTCCTCTGAGCTGGGGGTTCTAAGGACAGACAAGGGAGTCAGGTGAAACCACAGTAAATGGGTTGGTTTAGGAAACAGCTAAAATCCTTTCTGATACAGAGATTCTGATGACTGCTAAACAGAGGCACCATTCACCCCAGGCTTTAACAGGTCTTTTCCAAAGCCATGCATTTCATTTTTATGTGCTAATAAACCAGAAAATTATCCAAATATCTCAATATTTCTTGACTAAAACTACATATTTTCAAAGCAAGTCTCACACCAAAAAGCATTACTAAAATATTTTATCAGATTATACTTTCCGGATGTTATTTTTAAAAACAATTTGTACCTGTTATGACTGAATGAGGGTGGTTCTGGAAACTGAGAGCCCAGCCCCAACATGAGGCATTTCAGAGCCACCAGAGAAAAGGAAAACTAAACCCCAGCAAGACAAGAGACCCCTCTAATCTCAGTCAAAGGAAGACTATTTCCCTCAGTTCTCCTCTGTGAGGGAAGTTCCTCTGCCCCCACTACCCAGCCAAGACAGACCCACCTCTACTACCAAGGACAGATTTATAGTCACTGCTCTCCTCACCATCTCTAGTGCAATATGGCAGTTTTGTCACTGAGTCACCTGACAGGGACCCTAATGTGGAGGAAAACATCATAAAAACAAACAAAACAACCCTTCCCACACCCATAGGCTCCACAGTAAGGCTGAGAAAAAATGCGTGGGCTAGCATGACTCTTGTAGCATCAAGGGTCGAGTTCACAGGAACTCTGGAGAGGCTCATCCTGCCTCTGTGAGCCTAGGGTACATATGGGGTGTGCAGACGCTGAGAAAATCTGGCTCATAGCCAGTAGGTTGCTTAGAAGTAGAGGTCCCATGAGGGCAAAGTAGGGACACTCACCTGGGCTGCTCAGTAGAGCATCTTTCTTCAGTGTTACATGATAATCAATCTCCTCATATGTGGCCTCTTCAACAGCATCTTCGAAACTGGGTAAGGCTGAGCAGACCACCAGCAGGTCAGAGATTCCCACCTGAGACACTTCTGAACTAACAGGCTGATCCTTCATTGTCCCCGAAGCTCATGCATGGGAAAACCCTTACAGCTTCCAGGACCCCTGAATAGTCTTATACCCATGCACCATGTCTGCACCTCCTACCTTTGTCTGACCCTGTATCCAAAGCTCAGCTCCTACCCTTTCTTGTCTCACATAAAAAGCCAGGACTTATGAGTGCTCACACCCCCTTCTTAAGAACCTCTGTATATTCAGCCCTTAGATGCTAACGTGGGGCAGATGGATTTGCAAACTAATGGGGTAAAAACAGATACCTTGCGCAGTTTTCCCTTGTCACCCCTAGCCCCATTTCCTGCCTCCACACGCTTTCCTTGTTGCCCAGTACCCTCTGCAGCCCACCTCTGTGCCCCACTCTCCATCTGTGCAGTTGAATCACCAGGATGATGAGGACCAGGAAGAGAAGGGCCCCCAAGATGAGGCAAAGGATCCCAGGGACAGAGAAGATGCCAGGGACAGGACTTGGGCCAGATCTGGTCCCTAAAAAGAACAAATCCAAGAGGATATGGAGAAGGGCATATGTACAGGGAAACTCACGTATCCCAGCATTTCCAGAGAGCTCAAGACAGTGAAGTCCCAGCTTCCAACATAACGGGATTGACTGGAACCCTGATGGGCACTCCCCCAGGCTGTGTCCTAAGATAAATTCAACTCCACTCCATTGTGGTCCAAGGGATGCTGGGGATCATCAGGGAGCTCCGGGGCTAAAACAACCTCTGAGGGCCAGGGCACAGCTTCAGCCCCTTCTCTTGGGCTTCACCAGACCAGAGCATCAAACAACCTTGGCGTGGGTGTCAGCTACTAAGGAGCAACACTCATAAGCAGGTGGGAAAAAAACACAGAATCTGCAACACAGGAGCCAGCCTCCCATGGCCTGAGGGCATAAGAAACTTCTGGCACAGTGAACCAGGGAAGGGGAAATTTCTCCAGGGAAAATACCCTGATACCTCCCTTCCACCCAGTCACTCCTCAGGATTTCCTTTCCTGGGTTATCTAATTCTGTTAGAGATTCTATAGAACATGTCCCAAGAATTTGAATATTCTCTCCCATGCATGGTTGATGGCACTATACCTGCTGTAGAGGTGGGAAATGTTGTTCTTTCACCTAGAGAGACAAACAGGAGTTTGGAGCACAGGAATTAGCCAGAATACAGGGTAACCAACCCACTTTTCCCACCTGAGCCCTGAAATCACCCCTCAGTTACCACAATATCAATATTGAGTTCTCCCAGTGCCCCATCTCCTAGACCCAGTGCTACAGCACTTAGATGCTTTCTGAATACAAACTCCCCATCTTACTCCAGCCCATTGCTCCACCTCTGTCCCAGCTCTACTGGAGCCAGACCCATGCTCCTACACTCACCAGAGNCAGGCTGTGTCCTAAGATAAATTCAACTCCACTCCATTGTGGTCCAAGGGATGCTGGGGATCATCAGGGAGCTCCGGGGCTAAAACAACCTCTGAGGGCCAGGGCACAGCTTCAGCCCCTTCTCTTGGGCTTCACCAGACCAGAGCATCAAACAACCTTGGCGTGGGTGTCAGCTACTAAGGAGCAACACTCATAAGCAGGTGGGAAAAAAACACAGAATCTGCAACACAGGAGCCAGCCTCCCATGGCCTGAGGGCATAAGAAACTTCTGGCACAGTGAACCAGGGAAGGGGAAATTTCTCCAGGGAAAATACCCTGATACCTCCCTTCCACCCAGTCACTCCTCAGGATTTCCTTTCCTGGGTTATCTAATTCTGTTAGAGATTCTATAGAACATGTCCCAAGAATTTGAATATTCTCTCCCATGCATGGTTGATGGCACTATACCTGCTGTAGAGGTGGGAAATGTTGTTCTTTCACCTAGAGAGACAAACAGGAGTTTGGAGCACAGGAATTAGCCAGAATACAGGGTAACCAACCCACTTTTCCCACCTGAGCCCTGAAATCACCCCTCAGTTACCACAATATCAATATTGAGTTCTCCCAGTGCCCCATCTCCTAGACCCAGTGCTACAGCACTTAGATGCTTTCTGAATACAAACTCCCCATCTTACTCCAGCCCATTGCTCCACCTCTGTCCCAGCTCTACTGGAGCCAGACCCATGCTCCTACACTCACCAGAGCACCTCACTCCAGCATCCTCCTCATGCTTGCAGTTGCTCTGCCCCCAGGGCTCCGCAGCACAGGCCCACAGGGAGGACTCCCTGCCCCTGCACTGCACCTCATCCAGCCAGATGCGTCCACTTCCTGGGCCAAACGCTGCCTCCTGCAGGGCTTCCAGGGCAGAGCCACAGCCCAGCTGCTGACACACCACCTCGGCCTCTGCCAGGCTCCAGGAGTCATCACACACTGTGCCCCAGGAGCCACTGTGCCAAACCTCCACTCTCCCTGAGCACTGGGTGTCTCCATCCCTGAGTCGGAGCTTGTCTTTGTCTAAAAAGGCAGAAGTACCTCCTGTTACCACCCCTTGTGGAAAGGAAGGAGCCTCTAGGAGCCAACAGGGGTGGTGGGAGGGGCTGATGTACCTGTGCAGGGGGCAGCAGTGGGACAGCTCTTGGGTCTCCTTCCTGCAGAAGCAGACAATGGGGAAGCACCGAATCAGGGACAGCTGGGCATGCTCTTCCCCACAACAAGATTATTTAAGGTCCTTGGTTCAGTCCAATGACAAATGAAAACACAGGCCTCATAATTAATCTAATGGGCTGAGTTACTGCAACATTCAATGGATCCTAGCCTCTATCACCAGATGAAATTACTTTATCTGTTTACTTGGTTATCACTGCCCACATTCCGCCACAAATACAAACACAGGCACACACACACACATACACACACGCCACATATACCTGAATGAAAGCTCCCCTAGAAGAAGGACCTTGCATATCTTATGAGTAAGAAAAAGAGGCAAGAAAGGGAGTGAGCCTCGCTTCTGCCTTTAAAATATCTATTTCTCACAGCTGTGGATTTCAGGCACCACCCAGCGTAGAGTCCACCCTGAATGGGGTGTGGCTGGGGGTGGGAGGGAGAGAAAACACTGAAAATGCAAAAGAAGGAAGGGGAAGAAGAGAAGGAAGGAACAAGAGAAAAGGGAAAGAAGGAAAAAGAAACACAGGCCAAGCTATTGCTCTCTTCATTCAGACTTCAAATATCTTAGAATGAGATTTGAGGGCTTTGTAAGCTTATTGATTTGGAGCATCTATGTGATTTGGCTTTAGTTAGTCAAGTTCTTTAAAAAACCCAGCATCTTCTATCTAGATATGAAGGAAACAATTAAAAATAATTAACCAATTGAGAGTAATTTGACAATATCCTAACTAATAGTTCCAGAAGTAAGACATAGACGAAGAAGCTGATGAGCCCGGTGCTGCAGTTTTTCAGCAGATGAGGAGAAGCAACCAGAAGGTGGGATGACAGCAATAAACAGAAGCAGCAGATGGTACTGAATCATGGAGTGAATTTCAAAGTAAATGGATGTTGAGAAGAAACACAAAACAGGAATTGTTGAAAATGACAACTGAGAGCAAGGAACATACCTAGTCCAAGTCTGGGCCCAGAAAAAAGTGTGTTGAAAGAGAAATACACAGCCTCCAATTGATAGGGAAATCAGTGTTTTCAGGGAAAAAGTCAGGTTTTGATCTGAACATAAAAGCAAAGGGAGTACTGAAGGTAGAAGGGAATTTGCAGATGATGGGCTCCAAATTCCAGCGGCTTTGCAGATTTTTGGGAGAATGGAATGAGGGAGCAGAGACTATACAATATAAATGAAAAAGACCCAGAGGGTGGAGGATCAGCCAAAAAGACCAATGTACTAAGAGCTTCTTAGAAGAGACAAATTCAAGCAGAAAAATATAGGAACACGAGGCCACTGACCTCCCAGCAGGACTCCATGATGTGATAGCCAAGAACTGGAACAAATTCCTCTTTAACAGGATTGTTTTCTTGGGTCCTGCCTAACACAGGTTTTTGCTCTGCTCACCATTCCAGATGAATCCTGCCTCCGTCTCCTTCACCCTCTTTCTGCTCTGCCCATGATGGAATTTTCTCAGTGCCTCACATACGTGTCCCCTCCCAACTCAGTATTTACAATGACCCACATGATCTTTCCTCTTCTTTCCTTTAAGAAACTCTTACTCAACCTCCAGGTCTCCATCTAAATGTGATTTTCTTTTGCCCCAATTACACACTTTCGCATTCTTCATGACACTTGAAAGTTCTGCCTCATGAGGGCTTTCAGCACTAGATTCTAAGCTCTATGAGAACAGTGACTAGACTTCCTTCTCTTCTCTGTCCTCTTACCTGGAATATAAATCTGTACCTACAGGCACTCAATTACTGTCAACCAACAGACTGACTTGAGAAGTTGACGAAATGGTGTGGATGCATTTCAGAGTAAAGACCATGAGTGTAAGAGACAAAGCAAGCAGGATAGATTCTCTACTCTGTTCCTTACTTACTTTAAGGTGGTGAGCATATCTTTTAACTAACAATTAGTTAGCCATTCCTTAGAAAGTTTATCAGAGTATTAATCACGCTCGCCACACATTCAATGCAATTCCTGATATTTTTCACATAGACTGCTGTCAGCACAGGTATTCTTATTTTTTCCTTTGAAACAAGATTGCAACATGTGGATTAAATAATCTGATTCAATTAAGTTTTGTACACTTATTTTAAAGCCATTCCTTAGATTTGAAAATATAAAGTCTCACTAACAACATCCTACAGGAGTGGCACAGACACACAGGAACAGGCAGTAATTCACCTGCACACGTGATATAAGCTTCATCTCTTGGACTGCATGAACTGTATTTCCAAGGGTCAGAAGGACATTGCCAGAGAGACATATCAGTTTTCCGACACCGGATTCCATCCACCCACCGGGGTCTAGAACCTTCCCTAAAATCAACAGAAGATTCAAGGGTCCCACTGTCCCCACAGCCAAGGTGTCTGCAGATCATGGACAAGGTCATGGCTTCCATGGGGCTGTGGCAGACACTGCCCCAGGTCCTGTTGTAGAAAACTTCCAGCCACCCAGCACACTCCTGGTCCTCGCTCACCATCCTGAGGGCCTGGAACTCTAAAAGGGAAAGAGGGGAGAAGAGGGCACAGTGAGCATTCCACTCAATGCTCCGCATTTTTCTCTCTCCCTAAGATTGTGAACACTCATCACTGACTCTGCTGAGGAGACACCCACTAAGTGAAATTTGTGTCCCTTTTCCCTGACTTTGTCCATTTGTGTCTGTCTATCTCTACCACAATGATGTAGTGGAAAATGAACAGAGAGGAACACCAACCTGGGTCCTTGGCAGGGAGGGAAACCTGAATCCTGCTTCCTGACAAAACTTCAGACAGAGTATGTGAAAGGGAGTGTGTGGAGAGTGGGTGGTAGTCAGAGTGATGGACCCTCAAATATTTCTGCATCTTACCCCCTGGAACATATGAATTTGTTTCCTTACATGGTAAAAGGGACTTTATAGATGTGATTAAGATAACAACCTTGCGGTGGTGAGATTAACCTGGGATATTATGGATTAACCAGGTGGGCCTAGGCTAATTACATCTTTAAACTCACTCTTCTTAAAAACAAATAAGTTTATTGGTAAGGAAAGCAGTCCTAAGAGGGAAGTTCATAGCACTTCAGGCCTACCTCAAAAAGCAAGAAAAAAATGTTAGTAATCTAACCCTACAACTTAAAAAATTAGAAAGCTCCCCTGTAAAGCCGTCTGGACCAGAGCTTTTGTTTGCTGGGAGTTTTTCTATTACGGCTTCGATTTCATCAGTTTTTATTAGCCTATTCAGGTTTTCTGATTCTTCCTGATTCTGTTTTATATTATCTCAATCATATGTGGAATCTAATAATNATATGCAACGTTGCTGGTTGATGTTGAAGGAAGGGGCTATAAACACAGGAATGCATGCAAGTCTCTAGAGCTTGAAGAGACAAGAGCTAAATTCTTCCCCAGAGTCTCAGAATGGACTCAGCCCTGCTGACACCTTAATGTCAGCCCAGTGAGATCCGTGCTGGACATCTAACCTACAGAACTGTAGGAAAATAAATGTAAGTTGCTTTAAACCACTAATTATGTGATAATTTGTTACCGCAAAAAATGGAAACCAGTACAGTGGGTTAAAACACTTTACCACTGGAGATAACTGAAGAGGGAGCCCTGTTTTCAATGGAAACTCTGTAAGAAATGGCTTTGTCAGGAGATATTGCTGAGAAGGAAGGACCAGAGCCTCAGCTGCTGCAGGAGGAAGTGAAAGCACCAATCTTTATACCTGCTAGAAAGACAGGCACTGTGGAAGGAAGCTTCCTTGTCCTCTGGCCCTTTCAGCAACACCCCTTCAGGGCTCAGGCTCCCATTTCCCGGGGCCCCACCTCCTCCTCCAGCCTATGGACAATGTGCAGTGCAGACCTGAGCAGATGACCCCTGCGTCCTCCTTGTGCCGGCAGTCGTGCTGTCCCCAGCCACGGGAAGGGCACTTCCACACGTGGGACTCCTTTCCTGTGCAGTTCACACCATCCAGCCAGATCTGGCCTGATCCCTCCCCAAAGTGAGCAGAGACCGTGGCCTTGAGGGCTTCTCCACAGCCCAGCTGTCTGCACACCACCTGGGCATCATTCAGGTCCCAGCTGTCATCACAGATGGTGCCCCAGGAGCCCTGGTGAAGGATCTCCACTCGGCCGGCACAGGGATGGCCCCCGTCCACCAGGCGGAGCTGTCCACTGTCTGAGGAGAGAGAGTCAGGCCAATGGGGTATTTACACAGGGACACAGAAGGGCTTTCTGGTTTTGTGGGACCCCTCACCTGAGCAGCTGGCGGTGCTCTCCTCTGAGGCTTCAGAGCCTGCCGGTTCAGACACAGAGTCACACTCGGGCAGCACCTGGGTCTGCTTCCCTACGGAAACAGCAGTGGTCAGAGTGTTAGTAGGGTTGAAGAGCAGGAAACTAAGTTAAACTAAATAATAACCTAATGACGGGGTCTGAGATGAAAGCTGGAAAATGTAAGTAATGTTATCATAACATTAGAGTTCACATTTTTAAAATATATATATATCTTTATTGATTTCAGAGAGAGGAAGGGAGAGGGAGAGAAAGAGACAGAAACATCAATGATGAGAGAGTCATTGATCGGCTGCCTCCTGCACGCCCCCCCACTGGGCATCGAGCCCACAACCCAGGATGTGCCCTGACCGGGAATCGAACCACAATCTTCTGGATCATAGGTCAGTTTTCAACCGCTGAGGCATGACAGCCAGGCAGAGTTCACCTTCTTTATGGAGAGTTCTTATTATGCCAAAATTTCTTGTTTCTCATTATTTATTGGTGTAACATTGGTTAATAACATTGTGTAAATGTAAGGTGTCCAACATGTATATACTCTATTGAGTGTTCATCACCCAAAGACTAAACTCCTTCCATCACCTAGCATTTGACCCTTTTACCCTCTTTGCCCTCCCCCATTCCCCTTCCCCTCTGCTAACTACCATTCTATTGTCTGTATCTATGAGTTTATTTGTTTGTTTTGTTTTATTTATTCATTTGTTGCTTTTTGTTTTATATCCCCCATAAGAGTGAAATTACGTGGTTCTTGTCTTTTCCATCTGACTTATTTTGCTTAGCACAGTACTTTCAAGATCCCTCCATGTTGTCACAAATGGCAATGTTTCATCTTTTTTATGGCTGAGTAGTATTCTATCATATATATGTACCATGTCTTCTTTACCCAATCATCCATTGAAGGACACTTAGGTGTTTCCATGCCCTGACAAAAGAGCCAAAAACGTACAGTGGATAAAGGAAAGTCTTTTCAATAAACAGTGTTTGGAAAAGGGGAAAGTCACATGCAAAAGAATTAAACTAGACTGCTAATTTATACCATACACAAATACTAATTCAAAATGGATTAAAGACATGAATATAAGACCTGAAACAATAAAATACAAGAAGGAAACATAGGCACTAAACTTATGGGCCCTGGTCTCAGAGGGATATTTGTGAACCTGACCCCAAAGACAAGGGAAGTAAAAAAATAAAATAAATGAATGGAACTACAACAAACTAAAAAGCTTCTGCAGAGCAAAAGAAACCATCAACAAAACAAAAAGGCAACTGACTGGGAGAAAATATTTGCAAATTATACCGCCAAGAAGTGGCTAATATCCAAAATATGTAAAGAACTCATACAATTCAACAACAACAAAATGATTTAAAAATGAGCAGAGGACTTGAATAGACTGTTTCCCAAGGAAGACATACAGATAGCCAACAGATATACTAAAAGATGCTAAACATCAGTAGTTATAAGAGAAATGCAAATCAAAACTATACTAAAATACCACCTCACACCTGTTAGAATGGCTATTATCAATAAGACAAAAAATAATCTCATTTACAATTACATCAAAGTAAAATAAAATACCTAAGAATTATTTAACCAAGGATGTAAAAGACCTGTACTCAGAAAATTATAAGACACTGAAGAAATAAATTGAAGATACAAATAAGTGGAAGCATATTCCATGTTCATGGGTAGGAACAATTAGCATCATTAAAATGTCCATCTATTCAAAGTAATCTATACATTTAACACAATTCCTATCAGTATACCAATAGCATATATCACAGAACTAGAACAAATATTCCAAAAATTTACATGGAACCACAAAAGACCCCAAATAGCCACAGCACTCTTGAAAAAGAAGAACAAAATTGGAGGAATCACACTACCTGATATCAAGCTATACTACAAGGCCATTGTACTCAAAATAGCATAGCATAAAAACAGACATATAGATCAATGCAACAGAATAGAAAACCCAGAAATAAACTCATGCCTATATGGTCAATTAATATTTGACAAAGGAGGCAAGAACATACAACAGGGTAAAGACAGTCTATTCAATAAATAATGTTGGGGAAATTGGACAGAGGGGTGCAAAAAATGAAACTAGACCACCTTCTTACCCTATACACAAGAATAAACTCAAAATGAATTAGACTTAAATGTAAGACTCAAAACCATAAAACTCCTAGAAGAAAAGAGAGGCAGTAAAATTTATGACATTTCTCTTAACAATATTTTTTCTGCTATATCTTCTCAGGCAAGAGAAACAAAAGGAAAAATAAACAAAATGGAACTACATCAAACCAAAATGTTTTTGCACAGCAAAGGAAACCATCAACAAAATGAAAAGACAACCTACTGAATGGAAAAAATATATTCACCAATGATACATCTGATAAGGGCTTAATGACTAAAATTTATAAATAACTCACACAACTTACCACCAGGAAAACAAACAATAGGGTTAAAAAAAAAAAAAAAAAAAAAGGGCAGAGTACCTGAATACACACTTCCCCAAAGAGGACATACAGATGGCCAATAGACATATAAAAAGATGCTCAATGTCATTAATCATCAAAGAAATGCCAATTAAAACCACAATGAGATATCACCTCACACCTGTCAGAATGACTATCATCAATAAATCCACAAAAAAGTGCTGTCGAGGATGTGCAGAAAAGGGAACCCTCATGCGCTGTTGGTGGGAATGCAGATTAGTGCAGTCGCTATGGCAAACAGTATGCAGGTCCTCAAAAAACTAAAATGGCACTTTGTTATTACCCAGTGATTTCATTTCTGGGTGTATATCCAAAGAAACCCAAAATGTTAATTCGAAAGAATATATGCACTCCTGAGTTCATTGCAGCATTGTCTACAATAGCTAAGATATGGAAGCAACCCAAGTGCCCATCAATACATGAGTGAATAAAAAAGCTGTAGTGCATTTTTACAATGGAATATTACTCAGCCATAAAAAATAATAAAATCTACCATTTGTGACAGCATGGATGGACCTAGAGGGTATTATGCTAAGTGAATAAGTCAGCGAAAAACAAATATTATGTGATTTCACTTATATGCGAATCTAAAGAACAAAATTAACAAACAAACAAAATCCAAACAGACTCATGGACACAAAGAACAGACTGATGGTTGCCAGAGAGAGGAGGGGTGGGACTGGATGAAAAAGGAAGAGATTAAGAAGTACAAATTGGTGTTTACAAAAGAGTCATGGGGATGTAAAGTACAACATAGGGAATAGTCAATAATATTGTAATGTCTATTTATGGTGCCAGTTGGGTACTAGAAATATCAGGAGGAACATTTTATAAAGTGTATGATTGTCTAACCTCTATTCTGTACACCTAAAACTAATACAAAATAATATTGAATGTAAACTATAATTCAAATTTTTTAAAAAGAAAAAAGAGTACATTTTCATAAGTTTTGACTATTGCATGTACCATATAACAGCCACCACAATTAAAATACAAAATAGATGCATGACTCTAAAAAGCTTCCCTGTGCCTTTTGAAGCCAATAAAAGCCCTCACAACCCATCCCCAGACAAAGACTGACAGCTTCTAACACAATAAATTAGTTTTATGTTGTCTAGAATTTAATAGAATCATACAATATGTACTCCTTTTTGTATGTCTTCTTTTACTCAACATGTTTTGAGGTTTATCTGTGTAGTTTTGCATTGACCAGTAGTTTATTCTTTCTATTACTTAAAAGTCTTCCATTGTATAAATATGCTATAATTTATCTATGCTTTTGTTTTTGGAAATTTGTTTGGTTTTCAGGTTTTTGCTCTAATGAATAAAAATGCTATGAACCTTCTTGCCTAAATTTTTTTGTGGACATATGTTTTCATTTCTCTTTTGTAAATATCTAGTAGTAGAATTTTTGGATAACCTAGTAAGTTGACTTTAAAAAATCTGATTTTCCAGGAGGTCATTTTCTTTTAGATTACCACCAGCAATATATGAGATCTCTCATTAATCCACATCCTTGCTAAAATTTAGAATTGTCTCTTTAACTTCAGCTATTCTAGTTTGTGACGTTATATCTCTTTACACTTTAATTTAAATTTTCTTAATAACTAATTTTATTGAGTATCTTTTCTTTTGCTTATTGGCAACTTTTAAATTATCTCCCATTCCATAGGTTGTCTTTCCATTTGGTGATGGTTTCCTTTGCTGTACAGAAGCATTTTATTTTGATGTAGTCCGATGTGTTTATTTTTGTTTTTTATGTCTATTTTTGGTGTGAAATCCAAAAAAAAATCATTGCCAAGACTGATGTCAAGGACTTTACTCCCTATGCTTTATTACAGATCTTTTATTGTTTAAGTCTTATATTCAAGTCTTTAACCCATTTTCAGTTTATTTTTGTGTCTGGTGTAAGATAAGGGTCTAGTTTCATTCTTTTGCAGGTGGCTGTCTGGTTTTGCCAACACCATTTATTGAAGAGATTATCCTTTCCACATTGTATATTCTTGGCTCTTTTGTTGTAAATTAATTGACCATATATGCATAGGTTTAGTTCTGGCCTCTCTATTCTGTTCCATTTATGTATGTGTCCTTTTTTATACCAATATAGTGCTGTTTTGATTACCATAGTTTTGTCATATACTTTGAAATCAGGAAGAGTGATGAGTACAGCTTTATTCTTCTTTCCCAAGATTACTGTGGATATTTGGGCTTTTCACGGCTCATAGAAATTTTAGGATTGTTTTTTCTATTTCTGTGAAAAATGCCATTGGAATTTTTCTAGAGATTGCTTTGAATCTGTAGATGTCTTTGAGTAGTATGGATATTTTAACAATATTAATTCTTTTGATCCATAAACTGTGATAGCTTTACATTTGTTTGGGTCTTGTTCAATTTCTTTCATCAATCTCTTGTAGTTTTTATTGTACAGATCTTTCACTTCCTGGTTAAATTTATTCTAAAGTATTTTAATCTTTTTGATACTATTGTGAATGAGATAGTTTTATTTCATTTTCAAATGTTTTATTTCTGATTAATAAAAATGCAACTGACTTCTATATGTTGGCTTTATATCCTACAGCTTAACTAAATTTGTTGAGTCCTTCTAACTGTTTTTTGGTATCTTTAAGATTTCCAATATAGCCTGGCCAGGCATGGCTCAGCGGTTGAGCATTGACCTAGGAACCAGGAGATCGAGGTTCAATTCCCAGTCAGGGCACAAGCTTGGATTGCAGGCTCAATCCCCAGCAGGAGGCATGCAGGAGGTAGCCAATCAATGACTCTCTCATTATTGATGTTTCTTTCTCTCTCTCCCTCTCCCTTCCTCTCCTTGAAATCAATAAAGATATATATATTTTTTAAAAAAAGATTTCCAATATATAACATCATATCACCTGCAAATAATGACAATTTTCTTCTTTATTTCCAATTTGGATGTCTTTTATTTCTTTATCTTGCCTGATTGCTCTAGCTAGGACTTCCAGTACTATGCCGAATAACAGTGATGAGAATAGACACTCTTGTAGATTTTTCTGATCTTAGAGGAAAATCTTCCAATTTTCACACTTCAATATAATGATAGCTGTGAATTTGTGATATATGGGTTTTTATTATGTTGTGGTATGTTCCTCCTATACCCAATTTGTTGAGTGTTTTATAATGAAAAGATGTTGTATTTTGTCAAATGCTTTTTATGCATTCATGGAGATGATCATATGATTTTTATCTTTTATTCTAGTAAAGTGGTGCATCACATTTATTAATTTGCATATGTTGAACCATCCTTGCATTCCAGGTATAAATTCCATTTGGTTGTGCTGTATGATCTTTTGATCATGGTATATGAGCAAAATTCAATTTGCTAATATTTTATTAAGAATTTTTGCATCTTTATTCACCAAGGCTATGGGTCTATAGTTTTCTTTCAGTGTCATTATCTGGTTTTACTATCAGGGTAATGCTGGCCTCATAAGATAAATTTAGAAGTGTTTCCTCCTCTTCTGTTTTTTGAAAGAGACTGAAAAGAACTGGTGTTAATTCTTCTTTAAGTGTCTGATAGAATTCACAAGTGAAACTATCTCTCCTGGACTTTTCTATGTTGGAAGGTTTTTTGAGAATTAATTTAATCTACCTACTTGTTATTGGTCCCTTAAGATTCTATTTCTTCAAGGTTTGGTCTTGGCAGATTGTGTGTTTCTAGCAATTTATTCATTTCTTCTGTTATCCAATTTGTTGTCATATAATTGTTCATAATAGTCTCTTCTGATCCTTTGTATTTCTGTTGTACCACCAAAAGGTTTTGGGTTCGATCCCCTATCAGAGCAACTACGTAATGGAGGCAACCAATCAGTGTTTCTCTCTTACATCATTGTTTCTCTATCTCTCCCTCTCTATCCCCCTTCCTCTGTCTAAAAATCAATTTAAAAAAACATCCCCAGGTGAGGGTTAAGTAAAAAAAAAAAAAAAGCTCTTAGTTTCATTGATATTTTCTATTGTCTTTTTAGTTTCTATTTCATTTATTTCTGCTCTGTTCATTGTTACTTCCTTCTACTAATTTTGGGCTTAGTTTGTTCTCCGTTTTCTAGTTCTTTGAGGACCTCTCCTTTGAAGAGGAGGGAGAGCAGAGGGATTGGTGGGAAGGGAAGGTGATTTCCTGGGCACTAGTAATGTTCTCTATATTAATCTGGGTTCGGGTATATGACAGAGGTATACACTTATTGCTTACACATTGTTCTCTATGATTATACTTAAATAATAATATTTACTTTAAAAATATTATTCCTCTTAACATTTCTTGCCCTGACCTGAAAAATGAATAAACAATGAGAAGAACAATATTTCACCACAAAATACCTTATTTTCCACACTTTTTCCACCAGTTTTTCCATACTTTCTGCTCTTAGGGACATGTCACTCAAGAAACATCCTTAGTACCAGTTAGCCCTTTCCCCTCTCTTACCTGAGCAGATCACAGAGGCTGTGTTTCCATGGATACACTCAGGAATGCCCAAGGCAGTCATAGGGCAATTCCACAAGAAGGACTCAGCCCCTGAGCAGTGAAATTGGGCTTTCCAGATCTGATCATCCCTTTCCACAAAATATGCTCCTTTTGGGGTCGAGACGGCAACTCCACAGCCAAGCTGACGACAGACAACATTGGCATTGGCCATATTCCAGTGGGAGGCACAGAGCGTTCTCCATTTTCCAGAAATATTCATTTCCACTTGTCCCTCACACTGAGAAGTGCCCTTTTTTATGAGCCGCACCTCTGTGTATGCTGGTAGAAGACAGGATTTAAGCAAAATATCATGTTTTTCTCATCCCAACAGAGTATGCAGGGAAGTTAAAGACATGCTCTGTATCTCACCTGAACAGATAACTTGAGCAGCCCCATTGTGCTGGCAAGTGTCTCCTGAACAGGGCACTCTGGGGCAGATCCTGAGCTCAGGCTCCTGCCCCTCACACCAGAACTCTTCAGCCCAGACCCGTGCATCTGACTCTCTAAAGGGCACATCCACCAGAACAGACACAGCTTTGCCACACCCCAGTTCTGCACAGATGACCTGGGCAGTGAGGAATGTAAAGTTCCCACCAGATACTAAATTCCAGTCTATTCCAGAATGCACTTCTACTTTCCCTGAGCAGGGTCCATCCCCTCCAACCAGGCGCACAAATCCTAAGAGAAAACAAACAAACCCAGTGAGTGTTCACAATCACATGTTGACAATTAGAAGTGAAATATCATAAACAATGGTGTTAAAGTTTTCCTTTTCCAAGGAATGACAAATGGGGACAGGACTTAACAATCAGTGTCAGAATGGGACCTCCATGTGTATGTTTCTGAAGACAGATCATTTGTAATAGCTGAATATCTGGAACATATATTTCAGGGTTTATTAGAGAAATGAAGTCTTCATCTAGGGGACTGGGATCTACATGGCCTGAGGAAACTGCACTATACATAAGCATTCAAACTTTAATGAAGAAGTGTGAAGAACAGAACCAACCTAGAGGGAAAAGGGCTATGAAATTATAGAGACCTATCTGTCAAAAAAGGTTAGAAAGTCATCCTGAGTCTTGTGGGGCTCAAATTCTGATTAGCTTCTTTCTCAGGATCTAACCCCCAAATGACTGAGGATAGGGAAAATCATGAGGGCTGTATCCATGAATGCATGTCAACCTATAGATAGACTGATGGCTCAAGATTAGAAATATAGACATAATAACAAATTCACTTTTATGGTTTCACATTTTATTTTTCTGATAATTTTTATGACAAAAAAATTACAAGAATATCTTAGGTGATCTAAATGAGAAAGATAAGTCTGGATGTTAAGAAAGCTCAGAGACATAGCAGAGGGAGGGGTTGGTTCTAGCCATCTCTTTGAAACCCTACAATTTGTTGATAAACTTGGATGAGAGTGAGTTCTTAGTGGGAGTTACAGGACAGCTGAGTTTGTCATCACGTCCTACTAGAGGTTTTTCTTCTGAGGCTCAGGAGTCTTAGCAAATGCCAAGGAATGATGGTAATTGATTTTTATCCTATCATTTTGCTAACTCTATTCCTATATGACATCAGCAATATGGCAGAATAGGAAGTCCCTAACCTCTGCTTTCCCACAGAAACAATGATTTTGCAGCCATCTAAACACACAAGTGCCTTTGTGGAAGGCTCGGGATCCAGATGAGAGGTTGTAAAACCAAGGTGGAGCCAAAACTGAGGAGGTTCAATAAGAGAAGTCATGTCCAAGCCCCAGTGGCAGGCCTTCTGACTGTGGTCCCAGCTGTGACCTGGAAGCAGTTCCATCTCCCTGTAGATGTGGTATAAGCTTACTTGTCTATGGTCCTGCCACCAGTCCCATCCACCAAAGAACCCCAGAGAATACATGAGGATACATGCCCTCACTAAGAGTCTGGCAACCATAGACATGACTGTGAACCCAGAAGCAGCTCCATCACCTGGATCCAACCCTGCACCACTGTGGTCCTGGAGACAACCCTGTCCACTCAGGGACCCAAAAGTAGCCACTCCCAAGTAACAGGAAGGCCTAATGTAAACCTGACTGTAGACCTGTAGCAGCCCTGTGACCTGGCTCCAGCTCCATTCTACCACACTCAGGAGGAAGTCCTGCCTACCCAGGAACTCAGCAGAACTACATATATCTGTGCCCCTGCTACCAGACCCGCTGACCACAGACCCAATAGCAGACCCAGCAGCAGCTACATGACCTGACTCCAGCTCTGCTAGACCATGATCCTGAAGGCAGTCCTATCAATCAAGGGATCTTGACTGTAGTATATCTTTACCTATAAAAAAACAAAACAAAACAAAAACAGTCTGTAAAGACTGGAACAAGTGGCTGCTCCTTCAAACGCAGACACAGATCATGAAGAATCTGGCAAAGATGATACTAGCAAAGGAAAGTAATAATGCTCCAGTAACTGATCCTAAAGAAATTAATATCTATGAACAAATAATTCAGAATAATTTTCTTAATGAAGCTCAATGAGCTACAAGAGAGCACAGATAGACAAACTAAATAAGAAAAACAATGCAGGAACAAAATGAAAAGTTTAATAAAGAAATAGAAAACATAAAAAGGAACAAAACAAAAATTCCTGGAGCTCAAGAATACAATGACTGAACTGAAAAAATTAATACCAAGGGCATCAATTTTTTTAAGATGATAACATTAAAAGTTCCAACACCACACACTCCATTTTCACTCAGATACTGACTTATCCTGCAGTGTTTCCACAAACTTATCTGCAGTTGATATCATGATTAGGCCATCATGACTTTAAGGAATATTACCTGAAATGCCAGAAAACAGGTTTTCTTAAAGCAAAAATTCCTAATTGAAATTCAATGCCCCCATGAAAAGAATTACTTTCAATAATAATAATAATGAGGATGGTAGAAAACTTTTGAGGTAATAGGATTATAACATAGATGGTTTGGTAATTGTTTTACAGATGTATACTTATCTCCAAAGTCATCAATTTCTATGCATTAAACATGTATATGTTTTTGTATGTCAATCATACCTCAATAAAGTAGCTTTTAAAATGAAAATAATTGTTTTTTAGAGGCCTGGTTAGTATCATCAAAGATCTGCTGAAGGTGAGATTGAAAAAGACTGCTTTTCCAGTGATCTTCCCCATGCATAATACAAAAGAGTTGCTTGGCTAAGTCAGTCTTTTGTCCTGCTAAGGACTTATTGCAAATGTATTCAGGTTTCTACCTCTCCCAACGTTCCATCAGATGGGGTGGCCCTTTTCTAAGACCCAATCACCTACCTTAGGAAACTCATTGTGATATCTGATGATATCTTCCCAAGTCAAGCTGTTCTGATGGTATTAGTGTCTTGGACATTTTATTAACCATTGTAATAACAACTGGAAACATCTCTGACAAATATTAAGACCACCCATTTGTACTCTGATTTCATTGCTGTCTTTACTGCCTCCACCTTGGCACAGGTCAAATACACTTAGTATTGAACTTCAGGTTTTTTGTGCCACTTCAGGTTCTCTTGGCCTCACTGTCTAGTAATTGCTTCACTCCAGCTACTGTATTGTAAGTTTTAAAACTTGATATTTTCCTGCTGCCTCAACATCCCCACAAACAGGCTGTGAGCACCCCACCCTCACCAGGTACACTAATGTGATAAGGCTGACCCCTGCCACAAGGCTCCCTTCTTGCCCTCCCCTGACTGTGACCTAGTAACATTCAAGCACACCTATGAAATCCCTTTATGCCTTTTGCTTGTGTACTCCACCCTGTCCCCCAACATAAGTCATTTGTCTACAGGTCTTCATTCCCTCTTGGCTCCCCACTTGCTTGTTAAGCCTATTTCCTTGGTATTTTCCCCATGTGGCCCCCTTATGGAATTAAGTGACTCTCTCTCTAGGACTTGTAAGTATAATGAACTTTGTTTTCCTGTGCCTCTTCCATGTCCCCTCTTGTGGCTGCACCTCACTGACCATCTCATGAAAGAATACAAACAGCTACCATGATAAAATGAATTCATACAAGTACAACCCAGCAGTTGTACCTATATGGAACTTTTGATCCCACCTCCCTACTTCTCATGACACACCACAGAGATGAAAAGTTCAGTGATCCATAGATATAGACTATTTACTGTCTAGCGCTAAACAAGCCCTTATGCTTCCTTGAATGCCTAATGCTCTAGGAATCACTGTGTAACTGGAGTCTTCACCCAAGTGTGCTCTAAAGGCTGTGATCCTGTGTTCTCAGTTATTCTGAGAATGAGACTGAGGCTGTTACTGCTGGGGATCCCCTGCCAGACAAGACAGACCTTACCTGAGCAGACTACTCCAACATCCCAGTTATGAGAATAGTCCATTTCATGATATTTTTGAACCGCAGAACGGATACAGTCATTGATTTTAAATTCTGTCCCTTTGCAAAAAAGATATGAATGCCAAATGGGCCCATCCTGTGATCCAAAATAAAACCCTCTGGGAACATCAATAGCAACTCCACATTCCAGCTGTCTGCACACCACAGCTGCATCCTCCAAGTTCCAGTCATGATCATGCACTGTGCCCCATACTCCTTGGTACTTCACTTCCACTCTCCCCTCACAGCGTTGGCCTCCATTCTCCAGCCTCAGGTCTACATCTGCAAGAGAGACAGACACAGACACAGATTACACGACATGGAGAGATTTTAGGAGACCATACAGTGGTGTGCTGTTAAATATTTAAAAAGTAGGTCTCTGGGAGGGTTCCAAAGGTCAAGATGGCAGAGTATGTAACCACTATTCCCACCAACTCCCATGACCACATCAAAATTACAACTAAATTGTAGAACAATCAACCTGGATAACCATATGAAGACTAGCTGAACAGAAGTCCTATAACTAAGGCTATTAAGAAGCTACATCTTGACTGATAGGAGAGAGGAGACATGTGACAAGCTAGTCCCACACCCATAGCATGGTAGTTGTGGTAGTGGAGGGGTATCTCTGCAGCAGAGGTCCTCCCCTAAGAAGCAAAGAGTCCCAGCCCAGATCACCTGTGCCATGAAGAGAAGCTCCCACATCTGGCTATAAAAATCAGTGGGGATTCAGTCTGCTTGGGTAAAATGGCTGATGGAAACCTAGGTGTCCTCTTAAAGAGCCCACTCACAGACTTACTCGCAGGTACTCACCCTGAGCTCCAGCAGAGGGACAGCAGCTCAGGAGGCACCAGAGAATTACAGGGAGAAAATTAGTTGTGTGGCTTCAGGGCGATGACTGGAGGGACAGCTACCATTGTTTCTGTGTTGAGTGCTCCTCCCACAGGGCTAAATCTAAATCTGCATTAGGCTGATGGGTGCCCCACCCTGAAAAATCCCTGAGACCCCACCCAACCAACTGGAACACCACCAGAGACTCTTAGTGTCAGGAAACCAGCTTCAGCTGGGCTGCTGTGTTTCTTAATAACTCTCAAAAGTTGGCAGGGCTCAGGTGGCAGCTGGCCTTGATGTGTTCCTGTGCCTTTTGTTGTGTGGTGCCTGAATTAACCTGGTGAACACCATTTGCCTCACTGTAGTAACTCACTGTGACCCCACCTCACCCAACTTCTGTACACCTAAGGCTTTTTCAGACTAAACCTATGGGCAGCCAGCAGGTGGTGGCAGGCCTTGGGGTGCCTTGTGCTTTTGCTAAGCGGCCGCAGGTACAACCAGCCTCAGTTCACAGTGTGGCCTCTCTCTCATGCCACCAGGCCCAGCACAGGCAGTCAACAACCATGATCACTTTGTAACTCCTAGCAGGTAGCCCTGGGCAGGTCACAGGCTGCAGCTGACTTTGGCCTGCACCAGAGCCCCTCATACAAGAACCCAGAACCAACACACACAATGGCAGTTTTAGACTACAACAGGGATCACCCGATTAACTTCACAAGTGGCACACCCAAAGGATGGTCTCAGCAGGCACCAAGGATGAATCCCATTCCTTGGGGTTGTTTCCTGCACAGTAGCTTATACACTGTGGTCATGGCCAATCCTCACAGACAATCAGCCTGAGGATCAAACGAACCCACTGATGTGCCAACAGCAATCAAGACTCAATTACAACAGGAGATCACACACAACCCACATAAGGGACATTCTTGGAGCACTCAGCTCAGGTAATCAGGGAGACTGTGCCACTGTACTCCACAGGACACCTATTACAGAAGACCACCTTGCAGAGACTGGGAGACATAGCAGATCTACCTAATGCATAGAAACAAACACAGAGAGGCAGCCAAAATGGGGAGACAAAGAAACATATCCCAAATGAAAGAACAGGAGAAATCTCCAGAAAAAGAAATAAATAAAATGGAGGCGAGAAGTCTATCAGATAGAGAGTTCAAAACAACGATTAAAAGGGTGCTCAAGGAACATAGTAAGAAATTCAACAAGAGATACTAAGCATAAAAAAGGACACAGAGGCCTTGGGCAGCTGGCTCAGTTGGTTGGAGCATCATCCCCTACTCCAAAAGGTTGCAGATTTGATTCCCAGTCAGGGCACATACCTAGGTTGTAGGTTCAATCCCTGGTCGGGCCACATGCACAGGCAGCCAATTGATGTTTCTCTCTCACATAAATTATTCTCTCTCTCTCTCTTTCTCCCTTCCTCTCTCTCTAAAAATCAATAAAAAACAGCCTGGCCAGTGTGGCTCAGTTGGTTGAACCTCCCCAATGCACCAGGAGGTCACCGGTTCAATTCTGGGTTGGGGCACATGCCCGGGTTGTGGGCTTGACCCCCAGTGAGGGGCTTGTGGGAGGCAGCCAACCGATGTTTCTCCTTCATCATTGTTTCTCTCTCTCTCCCTCTCCCTTCCTCTCTCTCTAAAGTCACAATTATTTCTCACCAGCTAGTAGGACCCAGCTCCAAGCACCACTGAGGATAGGACTTCAGAGGACTCAGGATGCTGCTGTGCCAATAGATAATGCCTAAGGCTGGTAGGGGCCAAACTTCACCATCTCAGTTACAGTTCATGGCCCAAGAGGCCAGTGGAGGAATCTTCCCTCCCCTCTGGCCCACAGGGTGCACTCTCATCTAGGTTTGGAACAGAAGACTGGGTTAAGTAGCCTCTAAAAGGTCCTGATTATTCCCATTTCCTTGTATTCACACCCTTATGTAATCTCCCTCACACTTGACTGTGAGCTGAACCTAGTAACATGCATCCAATAAGCGAAATTTGGCAAAAGTGACGAGCTGTCACTTAAGAAATTAGGTGTCAAGAAGACTCTTGGTTTCTCTCTTGTTGATCTATCTTGCGCTCTCCCTTGCTGTGATGAAGCCAGCTGCCATGTTGTGAGCTGTGTATGGAGAAACCCACATGACGAGGAACTGGGGGAGGCTTCCAGCCAACAGCCAGCAAGGGACTGGGTCTCTATTAAACAGTCCACCAAGGTCTAAATGCTGCCAATTAACTAGGTGAGTAAGTTTGGGGAGTATGCACCCCAGGCAACCCATAAGATGATTGTAGCCTTATGAGAGACCATAAGTCAGAGGACCCAGATAAGCCATGCTCAGATTTCCAGCCTACAGAAACTATGAGATACTAGATGTTTGCTGCATTAAACTGCCAAGTTTGGCGGTAATTTGTTGCCACCTAGTCTGTAGTATTTTGTTATGGCAGCCCACCTGAGCAGACTAATACACCAGGATTCTTTTCAAGTTCAGCATCTTTCCAGATGCTTCCCTTCTTGGTGCACCACTTCTGTTTTCCAGAGTGGACGCATGTGGAGCTAAGCATAAACCTGAGCAGGGGAATGAGTACCCCAAGGATTGAGTCCTGATTAGATTATTTTTTAAATTCTCATTTTGATTACCTCAATTCAAAGTTAATGAAGATGATTCTAGGGCCTCAGAAAACTCACTTCTCTCTTTCTAACAGGAAAGCAGGAATCTAAGCTACTAAGTGAGAAACAGATATGACAAGATGGAGGTAGTTTGGGTCTTTGTTTCAGGTGGGATCAAGGTTGCAGAATTGGTCACTCAGGAAGAAGTGTTATCTGGATAAAGCAATTAAGCCACTCATATAAATCTCCAACTTGTCCACCCCCCTGTTTTCTGGCTTTGGAGGGAACCCCTAATTTAGTTATATAGTGCTACGCAACAAATTACCTTATGCTAAAACTGTGTTTTACCAAAGACAAAGAGAGAATTTTTAAAGCAGCATCATGACTACACCACGTACATCTTCTTAGACCTAAACCTGGACCTCTTGAAATTTTGGTTGCCTCAGGCTTCTTCCAGACCAGAGTCACCTCGCCACTGAGACTCAGTTTAAAGATTACCCTTATGTTGTCTGCTACATTCTTGACTGCAAAATAAAATCTGCTCAAGTCAAAATATAAATGTATATTATATTTATATATAATATATAAATTTATACATAATATACATAAAATATACACACATTGTCCACCTTGTAGGATTGTTGTGCACTCAGATGAGTTCATATAAGTGAATGCAGCATAAGGACCTGGTGGTAGTAGTTGTAGTTATCGTTGTAGTATAAAGAGCTCTGATAGAAACTGACAAAAATGACAACATCCTAAGATAAAAAGGACAAATGTCATGAGCAAGTAACTCACAAACGAAGGATTAAATTAGCTAATATACGCCAGTTTTTGCCTAACATACGCCAGTATGGGCTAAGATTTAAAAAACTTGGGGGGGAAAATCAATGCTGGTGAAGGTATGTGGAAACTAACATTCTCATCCAGTGTTAGTGGGAATAAAAATTAGTTCAGAGGTTTCTGGCAGGCAATTAATCTCTATGTATCAAAAGCCTTAAAGGTATCCATAACCTAGAGAACAGCAATTCCACTTTTAGAATGTTATTAAGAGAAACAATCATGGAGAGTCCTTACATTTAAATCCAAGGAAGTCGGACAATTTTTTTTCATAATAGCAAAAACTAAAACAACTAAATGCTCAACAAGAGTGATTAGGTGAATGTATTATGTGGTGGTCATATGATGAAATAATTGGAAACAATGAAATTTTCCATATTATCCTTATAATATTCTATATTTTTGTAATACTACAATAAATATTTTAGTATGTAAAAGAAGAATAGTTACTGATATAGAAAGATGTCCAAAATATATTGTTAATTTTTAAAAGCAGGTTACAAAATAATGTAAACCAAATTTTCCAATCTTTGAGGGTCTGTGTTCTCATGTATAATGGCCTAAAGTGTGTTTGAAGGAATAATTTTTTGCCAGTGCCTATCATGGATTTCACTGTGGAGACTCCTATAATGTATGCCCAGCTCAGAAATCATCAAATGCTCAGAAAGGCCAGAACTACTGTTTTACAAGGAGCAAGTCCAATGTCATATGAAGTAGAAGAATAAATTTTTAGTAGGATAATGGTGAACAGTGTTGTTTCAGGGAAAGATAAAAAGGAATGCTTACCTTGGCGAAATGTTCTTTCTTCTTAAGTAACTACTGGGGAAATTTCCTACAGTTTTTCTAATAAAAAGATGGGGCTTTT